CGAAAAGGAGAGAAAGGTCTCTCAGATGTCAGAGGCACATGAACATCTGCAAGGATCCAAAACACCAGAGGCGGACGATGAAGTTGTGCACCAGGCACCAATCAATGAGCGTAAAGAAAGTGTGGCGGAAACTGAACCAGAGACTGAAACAGAGACTGAGGGAGAGACTGATGCAGAGACCGAGGATGATACTCCAGAGCCACAGCAGATTGTTCCCGAGCCTCAAGAGGAACCTGCTCCTATGTCGCCACTCAAGAAAATGGTTTCACGTCCAGAATATGATGGATCTGAATGGGGACCACAAGAAGATGATGATGAGGAGGAAATGTCAGAGTCAGATTCAGTAATTCATCATCCAGTTGATGAGCCAATTGATCATCCATTCAGAGCATCTTTGGATCAACCATTTAGATCGTCGATTGATCAGCCCTTCCAGCACCCATTCATTAACCCTCCTAAGATCTCTCCTACACCACCACCACCCTCAGATTCTCCTGGTATTCCCGAAACAGTAGCTACTATCAAAGCCCGAAGCGGATCCAAACTCAAGACAAGGCCATCCGTAACACCTTCTGACCTAGCAGCCATGCGTGAAGCTCGACGTCAAGTCAGTGGGGCGGGTCCTGTCGTTCCCCCAATCCCCCAGCGACACCGCAATCGCCCTTCATTAAATGGAGAGCAAGACCCCGAGGATGAGGATAATGATAACGATGATGATAATGATGCGGAGAGGGGTACCATTCAGCGAGCTCCCAGCTTCAAAAAGCGAAGTCTCACACTAGACATCGGCGGTGATCTTGGACTTAACTTGGAGTCAGATTTCGACCGGGTCATTGAATCTTCAAAGGTAGCATATGATTTAACTTCTACTCACCCGACTTTCCTTACTGGTGGACCTGGACAAGCGTCCGAATCGTATAACCTAACCGAAAAGAATGATCATGCTAACAGGAGTCCACGACAGCGAGGATATTTAATGCGACAAAATACCAAAGTAGTTGTTGCTAGCAGCGATGAAAGAGAACCACGGAATACCAAATCAGTCGGAAACTCACCTACTAAACCAGATAATCGACCACAGTCTTGGGTCGTTGAACCATGGAACGGTTCTCGCAGAAGCAGCGCTCGACCTTCCAGTCCACGCAAGAAGCCTCCAACTGGTCCAGTCCCTCCAATGCCGGGTCATGAAAGTAATGCCACTGGCTTAGGTATCGTAACAGAAGGTCAAGTTGCAGAGCCTGCATCTGATGAAGCTAGTGAGCGAGGGAGGTTGTTCGTGAAAGTCATTGGAGTGAAGGACTTGGACCTCCCCTTACCCAAAAGTAAGTCCCCACTTAATCATTACCTTTTGATAAACTAACATGAGATTAGATGAACGATCATGGTTCAGTCTGACTTTAGACAATGGTGTGCACTGTGTTACTACAGCATGGTTAGAGTTGGGACGAAATGCTCCTATTGGACAAGAATTCGAACTTGTTGTGCCAAATGAGCTTGAGTTCCAATTAACATTGAATGCAAAACTCGAGAAGCCACCACCACCAAAGCGCGCCCAAACATCTCCAATCAAGGCATCAAAACCATCAAAACCTTCGACTTTCAGCCGAGTGTTTGCTTCACCAAAGAAGAGAAAGGAACTTGAGATGAGGCAAAAGGAAGAAGAACAACGCATTGCACAACAAAAACAACAAGACGCTCAAGCATTGAAGAAATCATCACAGCCAACTGCGTGGGATCTCCTCTCACCGCTTGCTGCCGCAGATGGTAGCTTTGGTAGATCTTATGTTTGTCTAAAGGATCATGAGACTCGCTGCTTCGGAAGACCTTATAATGTCGACGTGGCTGCTTTCAATGAATGGGCTACTGAAGAGGTCAGTCAATCGTCGAGTGTCATGAGCAAACGTAGCGTTCCTCCCCCAGTTCGAAAGCGCGCTCCCTATACCATTGGAAAATTACAGCTACAGCTCCTTTTCGTGCCAAAACCAAAGGGTGCAGGTGATGATGACATGCCCAAGAGCATGAATGCTTGCATCCGCGAGATGAAGGAAGCCGAACTTGAGGTTGCTAGACAATTCGAGGGCCACCTGAGTCAACAAGGTGGTGACTGTCCTGTAAGTTTTTTCCGCCCACATAATCTGATCATTGCTAACACACTTCAAGTTCTGGCGTCGTCGTTTCTTCAGATTATCAGGAAGCAAACTCACAGCTTACCACGAGTCAACCAGGCAACCTCGTGTCACTATCAATCTTGCAAACGCCAATAGACTGATTGATGATCGAAGAGCACTAACACAAAAGGAAACTACTGCCAAATCTGGTAAACGTCGCAAGTCTGGTTTCGCTGAAGATGAGGAAGGTTACATGTTTGTCGAAGAAGGTTTCCGTATTCGATTCAACAATGGTGAAGTCATTGATTTCTATGCAGACTCACCAGCCGATAAAGAAGCATGGATGTCTGTTCTCGACCCTTGTGTAGGAAAAGAGCGTGCAGGTGGTAAAGGTGGTTGGTGCGAGATGGTTCTCAAGCGGGAAGAACATATAATGAGAAAAGCTTCCGGAGCTTCGGGCAAGGGCCGATCACATTCGAGAGTTAAGAGTACCATCTTTTGATCTCTCTTAGCGCCTACTCCGTCGGTTTACGTCGCCTTCACAACAACTGAAAGGGGTTTTCCTTTTCTTGTATTACTTTCTGCCCGGGCGGCCTCCATTCTATTTCGGCAAAATATTGTTTCTTCTCGTGCGAATTCGACTAGAAGTAGATAAAAAGTTATGTCAATATGATTGACAAACACGTGCACCATTTTTGTTTTATACGTCATCTTTTGATATGGAAGCGAGCGGGTTCATGGTTGGGGTGGGGGGAAGTGGGAGCATAATTCTTGACTTTTTCGTCTCATTTGCGTTTTCACAACTGCGTTTGTAAGATTTCTGGTTTGAGTAGTCTTAGCTAGTTTTTTCTTTTGGCATGCGAAGGCAACAAACTTATTGTTTTGTTTTAAGGATTAGGTTATCTTTGTTTTTCTACCGTTTTTTACCTTTTCCTTGTGACTGGTTGGTTTGTAGTTTGGGTTTCCTTTCTCTGGGAATTGGATTGGAATGGGGGGTTTAAGGGGATTGTGGAGGAGAATGAATTTGAGAGGGGTGAAGACGCGTGGGGAGGAGATCAGATAAGATGGTGTGGGAGAAGGAAGATTGTCAGTGGATCTTGGTGACAAGAAGAAGGTTGATTCGATTTCAGTAATGATTCGTGATGGATGTGATGAGGAGATGAAATACACGTATACGTATGAAGGGAGGGAAAGAGAAGCTTCATGAGTTTGATAGGGAGATTGAAGGAGAGGACGTAGTGAGGGAGTAGTGTGTGAGGAATGGGAAATGGAAATGAGAAAATGAAAAAGAATATTAAATTTATATTTTATGATTTGTTTTTTGTGATAATGGTGTAATATGATGTGTGAATGAATATGTAGTATATCTATGTAGGTATAGAGATCAAATCTCGATACTTGATAGATTTATTCAATCAGTTAGTTTCTTCATTTCTTTTCCTCTCCTCTACTCTCCTCTACCCTCCCTTTATCAAATTCAACTCAACCTACTAACAAATTATAAGAAGCGAATATGAATACAAATAAACATACACTACCTAGATAGGTACTAGCCTCCTCGTCTACTAGATAAATAGATATCACATCTCATTTCAACATATAACACGCATCTCATTATTTCTCTCTCATCGTTTCTCTCTCTCTCGTCATCATTCTAATTATAAGGTCTACCTCCCTCCTAATTCTCTCTTTCAAATCTCTCTTCCAACTCCTGATCTTTCAACGCCTAATCTTCTGGTTGTAGACGTGGGTTTTTGATATCTGTTATTATTTATGTTTATACTTATATTTATACTTATATTTGTATATTTATATTCATACTCATACTTATATACTTAGATACTTAGATACTTATATACTTATATCCTCATACTCATACTCATATACTCATCCTCATTTCCATCCCCATCCATCCCGTCTATCAGCATCAACAGCAGAATAGTTTCCCTCCGAGTCTCTCTTCCATCTTCAAATTGCCATAGAATCTTGATTATCGATCATCAACTTCCTTATCCTCTTCTTCACTTGAAATTATTACGTAGCATTTACTTTCTAGTAATACTTTCCACTTGGAGTATAGAAATATAATGGAAATATGATGGAAATATGATGGAAATATAATAGACAATCTAATCTAGACTTTGATACAAAAAGAGAATCAAACTAAATCCAAAAGGAAATTCAGATGTAAACATAAATTCAGATGTAAATATAAATGTAAATGTAAATGTAGATACAACATGGAAAAAAAGGATTAAAGTATAGATTGAAGTACAAATTTAAATACAAATAGAAAGAAGAAAAAGGAAAAAAAATAAAACAACACTTTAATACCTGAGCACTAGATATATGAATTCTCTCTATGAGATGAGTAGATATCGTCCGACTATCGTCATACACATCAACGTATGTACTCTACTTTACCATAGCTACGTAACCCGAGGTCATTCATAAATTCATAAGATCTGTTATAAATCCCGATGTGGAAGTTTTTTTAAGGAAAAGGAGTGAGGGGAGGTTGAATGTAGGAAAGTAGAGTGAGAAATTGAATAGCCGCATTTGCGAAGCTTTATTAGTATCACGCAGTTTACCAATAATCACCTATCGTGAACTTTAAGACTTCGGGTGTAATCCGTACATTGGCATGAATAGTCATTCAGTCATTCAACTACGAGTGGTGTTGCCAAACGAACAAATCAAAAGAATATCTGGATTTTGATATTGTGTCAAGAACCTGGAAGGGTAGTGAAGCTATAATTCCCACATAGTTTGAGAAGGAAGTGAAGCTATACTCCTCGGACAATTCAAGAGTGGTTTTCCCGCTGCATTTGCAATAGCCGATTTCCCTCCACACCAAATCCATGAATTTCGCGTCCCCGAGAAGTCTACCAATCAAAGAGCACGCCATCCACTAGGTTCATTTGGATCTCTCACTTCACCTCTATAAGTTTGCGAAACACCAGAATTATGCGGATATTTATGTCGTTCTCGCAGGTGTCTTCGCCAGTTTGATGATTGCGAAAACCCTTTCTTTTCGTCTCGGTGAAAATCGCAACTTCGTTCCGGACAGAAATACCACACTCGAGATTCGCAGCCTCGGGCTCTATGTAATGACAGACCCCTGAAAGAGTAGAACCCCATGCCACAGTATCTGCATCTAAACGATTCAAATGGATCGATTCGAGAAGAAGGGTTAGAAGCCAGTTGTTGATCAGTGTTAGGGCCAAAAGTTGATTCTTGATTAGAATTAGGGTGAACAGCTGGTTGTTGTTGATCGAGGGTAGGCCGCACGATAGGTTGTCCAAAGGGATTAGATTGGAAAGCTGGTTGTTGATGGCGGGTGGGTGAGAAAGTTGATTGCTGTTTGAAACTCGATTGAGAAACTGATTGTCGATTCAGATTAGACTGGAAAGCTGGTGGTTGATGGGAGTTCGAGTCAGAAGCTGGTTGTTCATACGAGCTAGGTTGGAAAGCTGGTTGTTGATCAAAGGGGAATTGGAATGCTGGGTGTTGATTGGTGATATCTTGAATAGCTGATATTTGATCGAGAGTAATTTGGAAAGCTAGTTGTTGTTGATGGAGAGTAGGTTGTGAGATAGGTTGTTGATAGAGATCGGATTGAAAAGTTGGTTGTTGATGGGAGTTCGAATCAGAAGCTGATTGTTCATCCGAACTAGGCTGGAAAGCCGGGTATTGATTGGTGATACTTTGGATAGCTGGTGTGTGAATAATCTCTTCCAAAATTTGTGATGATGGTGTACCAGTTGAAGCCTGGTCTGGAGAAGATGGTTGGCGCGAAGGCTGAATATTAATATTCGAGGAGCTGTTTTCATTGGCTTGGATGGGCATGTGAGGAGATTCGCGGAACCTATAGAAATAATGATGATTAGCCTTATAACTATGATGAGTATCAGGCTAGGTTGATAGGTCAAGGATTTTGGAAGTTGCTAAAGCGATGAATGAAATGTGGAAAACATACATCGTATCGTAATTAGATTCCAAAGTGGTTTTCAGCGAAGCCTTTTGGCAATACAAACATGTACGAAGTTCTCCTTGCTCGGTAATCACAGGGATGAGGGTCAACATCGTTTCCAAAGTGGTATTGAATGCCCTTTTGCAATGCGGACATAAAAAACGTTTCTCTTCCCTTGAAATTGGTGTGTAGTTTCTTTTGGGCCTTGCTTCTATTATTTCCTCCGTGAATTCTAAAGTCTCTCTGACGGAAGGGACTTCACAATGAGGGCATTTAAGAACCTCCTCTTGTTCCATATCGACAGGGGCAATGTGTGACATCGATTCGTGAGTGGTTGTATAAGTCTTTTTGCAAGACGGACATGTATAACGTTTCACTTTTTCGGTATCGACATAATTATAATCTTTATTTGGCGGATTATTTGTGGAAGATGATTTCGGGGTATCCGGCATCTCGTCATTATTCAACGGAGGTACTCCCGAGAGAACATCATTATTTAGTTCTCCAAGCGCTGCTTGCTCATCTACAGTTCCACCAGCGATGATGAGATCCTTGTCAGTGGTAATGGAAATGTTGATGTCCTCCGACATGCTCGTGGTTTGCAACAGGCAGTTACTCTCAACTTCTATTTGAAGAACGATATATTTCGGATTAGAAATGATTAGTGAGCCAATACAATATGCTCTTAGTCTTTCCAAGAATTACACGCAGCCAAGCTCAAATGGGAATGACTTGAGAGAAGTAAAAAGCATGATATTTTGTTGCGGGATGACCTGGCTGAAAGTTTTAGGGTGAATATGGCTTGGGAACAATTGCGCCTGCCGAGTTTTCCTTGCAGAATTAAAATAGGAAACGACGAGATCAATCTAGCATTCGACACAATGAGAGCTTCAAATATTAAGAAACCCACCTGGGCATTGCTAGTCTCGAATTCACAAATGTGCTTTCTCTAATTTGACCATCTTGAAATAGAAAATGTATTTGGTCGCGACGGACCACTTTTTGAAGAGAGTAGGTGGAAGTAGAGAATTGGATCATGTTTTGAAGTCGACCTGTGATTGGATTCGAGTATCAAAGAATACGGTGATATCGTCAGAGTGCCAGATCTAACCTGTTTTCGTTCCACTGTTCTCCAAAACATCAAATATACCAATTCTTGGATCATTGGATCTGTCTGAATCACGAAACTCGCACCTCTTCTTACCCAAAACGCACTGTCACAAACGTGGTTTTCAGTCGGGAAAGTCACGTTTTGCCAAAAATTGTTCGTCTCCAAGCTTATCCTTCAACATTGTAGTCTTTCCCATCCCTTAATTAGATAGGACGATCCACCTCTCCCCAACACCAGTCCTCACCGGACCAACCCTCATTTCCTCTTCTCCACTCTCCTACTTCATCGACTTCCTCTTTTCCAACCTTCAATCCATTATAGATGTGAGGAAAAAACCCCGCTTGTCCCTCTGTATCCCAACATCCGCCTATTTCTTCGGGCTGCTTTCCCACTGCATTCTCCCATTTGATGTATGGAGCTACTTGCTCATACTTGATGCGGAGAATATAGACATGAGACTCATTTCTGTTTGAGTATTAACTACGAGTAATGGAACAGAGGAGATGCCAAGATATGCTGGAAGGAATGCAGAAATCGAAGGAAGACGGTGCAAGAACTTACGAGAAAAATGCATTCAAAGTTCGTAGCAATTGTTTCGAGGTAGAGCAGTGAACAAACCCATCTCTCTTATCGAGATCAGAGACTGGAAGGACTTCTGGGAGTGGTGAGGTAGGTTTCGCATCAGAAGGGATGATTTTGTAAATATAAGTTGGATATGTTGAAGTCATTTTTATGTTTGGTGCACGTGATGGATTATATATTCTTCTCGAAATGGATCTGTATCTGAAAATATATAGGTATATAGCGTCGATTGTAAGATGCGTCTTGCTGTTCAACGAAGGAGAAGATGAACTTGTCTTTTGTGGTGAAGAGTGAGTGGAGGTGATGTGATGAGTACCTGGAAGAGGTAAACGAGCAGGGAAAACTTCGGTATAATGCCAAATCCTTTGAGGTCTTTCTCTCAAGTCTTTCTCTAAAGTCTTTCATATACTTCTTTCTCTATACTTCTTTTTGTAGATGATATATCAAATGTCTCCCACGCTTCGATAGGACAAAGGAGGAATCATGTAAAGCCTTTCCATTGACATGGTTCCATATAAAAGCATACATCCAGAAATAACATCATGGCGACACTCCCGGTGAGCTTTGCAATTTTAGCAATAATCTCGGGTAAAGCTCCATGTAACTCCGTGGCCAATGTCAATCGATCTATCTGATGCCGACGCATAGACCAATCAGAGCAGGGATAAAAGCTATGATGGATTGTTTTCTCACAACACGTGACTATCTCACCGCTCTCACCGGCAGAATTCGTCTTGCCCCGAAAAAAAGTTGATGGAAAATATTCGTGCTGTGAGGAAAAGAGACTTTGATCTTCAAGAACACAAAATAACTTCAACTTCTCCAAACCCTCAATCACCATGTCGTCAGACGAAATTGTTTGGCAGGTTATTAACCAACAATTCTGCTCTTTCAAGCTCAAGTAAGTTGATTGATTAGCTACATAGCTCTTTTCATCTACTAATCATATCAGGACTACGAAGGATCAAACGTTTTGTCGCAACGAATACAATGTTACTGGTCTCTGTAATCGACAATCATGTCCTCTCGCAAACTCCCGATATGCCACTATTCGCGCAAATCCTCAAACCGGTACACTTTACCTTTACATGAAAACAATTGAAAGAGCACACATGCCATCGAAATTATGGGAGCGCGTAAAGCTATCTTCCAACTATGCCAACGCATTGGTACAAATCGACGACAAATTGAAGTACTGGCCTAACTTCCTCATTCACAAGTGCAAGCAGAGACTCACAAGATTGACACAAGTTGGGGTTCGCATGAGAAGATTGGCAAAAGAGGAAGATAGATTGGGCGAAAAACTTGTTCCAAAAATGGCGCCTAAGGTTAGAAGAAGAGAAGAAACCAGAGAAAGAAAGGCAATGGCAGCTGCTAAGGTCGAGAGAGCGATTGAAAGAGAATTGATTGAAAGATTGAGGAGTGGTGCTTATGGTGATCAGCCATTGAACGTCAGCGAATCCATTTGGAAGAAGGTTTTGAAAGGTTTGGAGAGACAAGGAGAAGGAACTAGAGATGAGGATATGGATGAAGGTATCGAAGAGGATGAGTTTGAGGAAGAAGGAGAATATGAAGATGAAGAGGGCGTTGGCGACGTGGAGTACGTTAGTGACCTGGGAGAAGATGAAGAGGATTTGGAAGATATCGAGGATTGGCTTGGAAGTGATGAGGAGGAAGCTACTGGTGAAGAAGATAGCGAAGATAGTGAGAGTGACAGCAGCGAGGATGATAGGGCCAAGAAGAATGCTACCGGCGCAAAGAGAAAGAGAGCACCAGTTTCCAAAACCAAGCCAAAGAAGAGAATCTCGAAGATGGAAGTCGAATACGAACAAGAGCTCGAAGGACCACAACGAGAATTGGCTTTCTAATCTGGGAATGCATGGACTTTCATTATACCTGGGGTTGGGCGTTCTTTATAGGTGTTGGTGCTCTTGGTTCCTCAAAAATAGCTGTTAATTTATAGTACTGTAGACAGCTTTCTTACTTGGCTATGTATATCAAAGCAAGCGATATTTAAGAACAATTTCTGGAAGAAACCCCCAAATGAATCATTGACTGATTAATTTATTGTGATTAATTCCATATCAACTTAAATATCGGTACCATCAGTGGCTCTTTCATCGGCCTCCTTAGTCTCATCCTTTCGCGTGGTGGGGTCAGATCTCTTCTTGCAGCGAAACCTTGAAAGTTTCAACTTAATACTTACTCCCCATAAATTCATAACTTCATAACTAATTCGCGACACCTCTCTCCAAACCACAATAAATTCAACATCAGCCATATTTTCGAAACAATAACAACAAATTTCCTGATCTCATTCTCGGTGAATCACCGCAGACCAACCAACTTCAATTGCGACACACAACCTTAGCCATCGCTGGTCCAACAACGGTCCGTGAATCAACACAATGTACTCCTCCTATCTTAACTCCATTACCTCCAAAGTAACCTCGATCCGACAAAACATATTCCAAGGCGAAGCCGACGGCGATACAGAAGATGACACCTATCTCTGCCGCGTAATGCGCACCTATTATCTCCAAGAAAAGAAACAAAATCTGCCAGCGTGGCTTCCCCCCGATCCACGCGGTCCAGCACCTACTCCTGTCGTCCAACCCATGTATACCCAACCCGTCGGTTCGACATATGGTCAAGCGCCTTCTACACCAGGCGGCTCACAAGGATTAAACAGTCTCTTCGGCGGCGCGACAGGAAGAACAAATGCGCCTTCGCCACCTCCTGGGAGTTTGCGCGCCGCAAGAGGAACAGCCGGTCCGGCTCGCACTCAGAGTCCGTTCGCGAGTCAGCAGGGTGCAGGCGCAACGGGTAGTTTATCTGCGCGAGATAGACTGAAGATGGGAAGATCGAAGGGTAGCGCGATGAATACTAATGCGAGTGCGTCGGGTGGTGATGCAAGCTATGATTCAGGAGGAGAGAAACCATTTATGGCGGCGACGAGCCCGTGGGCTTCGAATGAGGCGGAGTTTGGTGGTGGGGGGTATGAACCGCCGGCGCCGAGGAGGGGGATGGGATTACCCAGTGGAGGACCTGGAGCGGGAAGGAGACCGGGTTTACCTAGTGGACCTAGGTCGGGGAGATGATTGGAAGGGAAAGGGGGAGGGGGAGATGTGTATTTTGGGAAGTTGAATTGTGAATATTTGACGCTGGTCGTGGTCGTGAGCTTTTGATGCATGGCGTGGAGTCTTAGATGGTATGGTGTTAGGGATTGGTCATATTTTATTCAGTGGTAGGTGGTGTATGGAGTTAGTACTTTAATATAGCATGATAAGGGTTGGAGCAGTGGAGCAATGGTATTTTGAAATAATAAACTAATCCCTCTGATTCTACATGAACCATATTATGCGCATGTTTTTGCACCTCTATTCTCTACCCTTTCGCCTCAGATGGCTTCACTACAAATACCCATGAACCCCTCATCCATCCTTTCTTCTTCAAATCTCTAAGCAGAGTCCCCCGCCGAAACCAGGAGTGATCCTATTCCAAAACCTGGAAAGCACTGCAAGTGTTCACTCTAAACGCCTGATCTCTCAAATCTCTGGAATATACATCAACATTGACATCGTATTCATAGACTATATTTTCTTTCCGACAATGTGGTTGCTATTGATTTGACGAAAGCTTTTTCTGGTAAAGTCTAGAGGTACTTCACAATATGCGTGAAGAAGCAGGAAGTGGTGAATCATGGTGGATACTGTATGTATGTATGCAGCAGGCTCAAAGTCTCATCGCTGATCTTTGCCCCTGAAAGAGGTTGCAAAGCTTCCCATCTCAATTTTGTGGATTATTCAGGAGCTTACGGGATCTGCTTTATATGCACATCTACTGGATTTTCTGGGGCGATCAGTTGGAGGGATAAATCCACCTCCCGGATAGGATCGGGAATTTAGAGTCATGGTTTTAATACTATACGCTTTATATCATTCCTTCAATGTAAGCTCAATATATGTTCTACAAGGAATGGCAAGCAGCCTGCCTGTTAAGCTTTCCCCATTCTTCTGGCAGACGGATCTTTCTCGGATATTCAGTCATCACTGGACATCCCTTGTCGTCGATATTTTTTCTGGATCCTTTGAATGTCGCATCGTGTAAAAGTCTTGTAAATGATACATGTACTGTTGCTCGTGCCATTCTCCCAGTCTATCTGTAGCAACAAATGTTATCTTGAGATACACCTGTAATCTCAATTTTTCATCATCGTTGAGCTATTCTTTCAACATACAAGATCGACATCGCTAGATCACATATCCCTCTTCAAACCCAACCATTCCATCCCCCGCCTCGAGCGCTATTGCCCATTCCTCAGTCATCATTACATCGATGCCAACCATAGCACAAGTATTACCATTGGACCCAGGAATGAATTCATCAGCCAATCGATTCATATATCTACGCCTCTCTGTGCATAAAGCCTCAGACACAACGTGTGAATACCGTGATTTCACATGTACGAAGCGACCACTAGGATCATATCTACCATAAGACGAATCTCCAGACTAGACGTTTACCCACGGCATTGAAGATATCCCGAGGTGAAAACTCAGCAGATCAACCTTCTCTAGAAGCAATCGACTCAAGCTGCAAGTCTAATTCATAAGACCTTTAGAATTACGTTCAACTTTGAAATACTCAAATCGAGTCTAGATCGTGAAAGATGATTTTATTCACCCACACCCAGAAACTTCTAGAAGAGACGAATATATTCTAATCGCAACCCGACAGGAAATAGAAATAGGACTACCATCACAAATACATAGGTATGTCACTGAAACCGCGAATGACACTACACAATTCTTTTGCTTCCAGGATCCTCCCATCCCAATACATTCCTCAATATTAATCACCAGTGGAATGCCAACTTTGCTCACTCCTTTATTTGTAATCTACTCCTATATTTCAGAAGGTTAGTTTTGAGATCTTTATGTTGTGAAAATTTACCTCGATTTAATGCAATGCTTTCTTTCTGCCCTTCTTCCCTAGAAATTTAAAGGTTTGGGCGAGAAGAAAAGTTCGAGTAATCACATCACCACCGTCTATAGTGAGAAGGAGTTGGACGCTTATTATTTATCATCTTCATTTCTTCTACTTTCATTTGCTAGATCCTTCAAATTGGACTTGAATTATCTGAGTCGCTTCTAGCGGTACCTGCCTATCCATAAATTCTACAAACTGGCAGATTGGTAGAAACGGCTTTGGGGAAGTCTCGCTTCAGAAGTGAACAAGATGCTGATATTCAATCATGAGATCCCTACACTACAAACGCCCCCCTCCAGTGTCATACCACATGATTATACCCAACTCCCATGCATTCATGCACCCATCAATTCATTACATATACCAACAAACCTAATCCTGTACCCTCCATTCATCTATCCAACTCACATAGCCGAGAAACCCAATTTCCCAAATAGACTATCCATCGCGACCCACTGCCTACCACATTTATCCAGATATTTCTCCACCACACTTTTTAGCGTACCAAATCTGACTCGGTTATGTTCTGCTAATGCTGAAACGAGTTCTATTTTCATATTAGTTTCCGTCTCACTAATTCTTTTCAAGAAAAAAGTAAAAGAAACCTTACCTTTTTCCGTACCCCTAGCATTACTCCTCGCCTTATCCACATCAAATAAACTAGAAAAGTAAAGCAATTGATTGTACATCATTTTCTCAGTGTATTCATACCGCATTTTGCCCAGACATCCTTGAGCCAACCCCTTTGGTCCCAAGCATCTATGGCCATAAACACTCATTTGTCTGGTACGATTGCCACATGCTTGATCATCACACACGAGCCAGCCTTCGTAATATTTACATGTTTCTTGACGTATTTGATGTTCGAGTTGTGTCATGATGGAAAGGGTTGAGAGAGTGGTGCCACAGCGACAGATAATACCAGACGGAGAGCAATTCTCCGTACTATTGAGGATACCTTCGAATCCAAACATAGCTTTACATGATCGACAGCGGAGGGTGAGACGAGTTGAATCCTTGAAGCGCACAGAATCGTCAATTTGACTTTCGAGGGGATGGATTTCTGCTTCATTGCTGCCTGCCGAATTGTTGTTATTGATGCTATATTTGCGTGCATCAAGTCCGAGACAATCAGCCAGGCGTACTGTATCGGTACCTGAGATGTTCGCGCACAATCTCTCGACGGGTGGGAAAATTTGTTTGTAAAGATACCATTCAACATCTGGCTTGAGACCTGAATCGCGCTTCATTACATCTTGAGGTGTAAATGAACGTTTCGCGGCATTCTCAGATGTTTTTCCTTCTCCCGTCACGATGTAGGCGATAACGTCATCTTTTCGGACCTGTTTCCCCTTGGCCAATTCTCGTAAAGCAACTTGAACTTGCGGCATATTATCGGCATTAGGATAATCCTTGGGCGCTTTTCCAAGTTTCGTGTAGATTGTATACTTTTGAACAGGAACATTTCCTTCCCTCATTTTTGTTGAAATTTCTCGCAAGTAATCGTGGATTCGGGTGATAACAGCCTCAGAATCATCACCAGACAAAATCTCGTTCAAGAGTTGAGATGAAACTTCCTTTGACAAGTTGCAGTATTCACGACGCTTCATATCCAAACCCTTGACTTCCATTTTGTCAATGAACTTTCCATCAACCTGTACAAGGTTAATGGCAGCGTATTTCTTCTTAGCTTGAAGTAAAATACGTCTAAACACATTGTCGATATCGATTTCTAATAGCCTGTACAAATCGTTGACAGACTTTTTGAAGTCGTTTCCAACTGCAAGAGCATCTTGGATATTATCCACGTTGGCATTAATCATGACCGAATCTGTATCACCATAGATAACTTGTAAAGATTTGCTCTCGGCCAGGTCCTTGGTACTTCGAAGAATCTCACGACCCTTGTATGTCGTGAGAACTGCAAGGGGTCGAGCATAAAATCTAGATTTAGTGTAACCCAAACAACCGTACATAGAGTTAGCAGTAAGCTTCAGTGCCAACTGTTTAATATCCCAAGTTGCCAATTGCTCCGAGGTTGCATGCTTGTCTTTCATAAGACTCTTGACTTGTCGACGTCGACTAACAAGTGTGGCAATGAGTTTGGGCAAGATACCTTGATCCTGATCTGTTGGCACCTCTGGCACCCGATCCTCGTCATTGGACTATACATATTAGTAAATAACAACTTTCATGGCAAGAGTATGGACATACCAAATTCAACCTATCAACAGTAGTAAAGCAAATATTATATTCCTGGATGATACTGGGGTACAGGGAATTGAAATCCATGACAAGCACGAATTTATCGTACAGACCTTTCTCAGGCTCAAATACTAGACCTCCCTTGTACTTGTCCTTCTTCTTCACATCCCCACTTTCTTCGTCGGCATTCTCTTCCTCGGCTTGTTGTTTACCCTTGAAAACAGCTTTGTCGGGACAAATATACTTATTGCGATGAAATTCATGTAACAAAATGTATTCATTGCGTTCAGCTCGAGTACCGGTAAGTGTTCTTGCCCAAGAATTTCCAGCCAAGTTAGTGAGAACTTTGGTTAAAGGAAGCATTTGAACCTTCAAGGCAAGAGCTGCAATGAAGTACGTGTCTGCTTCGCAATGACTGATATAGTCCATAAGGCCATCCTTATTAGTAGCCCATGTCTTCAATGCAGCCTCGTTGTCGATTTCTCGACGATTAGTACCTGACAAGTAAAGGCTGCACATCTCTGTAAGGGTCCAAGATGTACATTTCGTCATAGTCGATTTTCCCATGTCATTGGCCAAGTCACACATTAGACGACCTGACATTAGCGTACGCTCTGCAAAGAAATTTCCGCCCATCTTCCCATAGAGCTTGGCCATTGGGTACGTCTCATTCGACCGATTCGTGACCATTGTGGAGTCTTTCTAGCTTGAAATCGGCTTAATAGAATGCTAAAATCAACGCCTTCTAATTGATGGCCAACGAGGACATCTGGATCAACCGAATCCAACCGAGCAAGGAAATAGCTCAAAATCTCATTCTCCTGCTTGACTAGCTTGACAAGCCCGATCGAACGCTGTTTAACCACACCTCGAACCCGATGGGAAAATGTGATCCATTTGGCCGCATGACAGTAAAAGTTTGGCAAGGCAATTTTTCAGGTGGAGTGGTATCGCTTAGCGAGATATTTTGATAAATGCGTGCACTGATTGCGAGAACTTCTTGTTTATTTTCTTTGACATTGAAAACAGTGCGCATCGCAATGCTCATCAGAGTCAATGGTGGCGCTTCGAGATTATCAGAATCGCTGATGGGAGTAATCAGATTTGGTTTTGTAACCTGAACTTCTAATTTGCAGTGAGAAGCGTTTTTAAGAGTCCCAAAGTCTGCATCTTCAATTTTCAACCAACATGGACCCATAATGTTCTTCCAGAGAACGAATTGTTCGAAGAGTGGAGTATTTGCTCCAAAAACATGAGAGAAAGTCGAGCCGGTTAGCTGGTCTGCATTTAATGCATGATCTAGAGTGGTCAGTCGAGTAGCTAGATGGTAGATTTTACACTTACTTGAGTAGGGATACAGTAATTTCAGATATTCACCTTCCTTCGGTATTTCGGGTAGTTCAAAGGCGTATTTCCTAGTGCAAGGTTTGATTTTGTGCATCCCAACTTTCATTTTGGTCATCATGCTATCAACCTCTTCGTAGACATCCTTCATCTCCACCTCGTCAGTTGTGTCCCGACCGTTGCGTTGGCGGTATTGTCGTGGAAGGAAGAAGAGCTTCCTCAAAACGTTATCGACTTTTACAAAACAGCTAACAAAAGTGCCTGTCTTCTTGTTCTTAACCTTGCCAAAAAGACACAGACTGCCATGCATCTCAGTATAATCAGTCCAGAACATATGAAGGCTTCCATCTTCTTCAATTGCGTCATTATAGTCGAGTTTTCCAAAGGACATTGTTTCCGTAGGTTGGCTACTGTTCATAACATTCAATCGTTGCGTAACATCGTTCCAAGACGATGCATCCACTTCGTCAATGGAACCGCGAGGTGGAGATGAAGTTGTGGGTGTCGGATATAGCTCCTTTTTCAGCTTAGGCGGAGGCCTGGTCCCGGAAATATTGACGCTACTAGCTGTGATACCATCTGCTTGAGCGACCTCCATCATGTCTTCATCCTCTTCCTCTTCCTTAACACTGATATGTAGTCTTCTCTCAACAGCTTTAGCCACGGGGGATGAAGGCTGTGGTTCATCCATAGGCATATCATCGTCGTCAATTCCAGCCATAAAATCATCATCATCACCCATATAGACAGGCGGGCTAGATGGCGCTGTCGTAGTGTTGGCGGGTCGACTATCCGCTACCTTAGTTCTTTTTGACGTATGTCGAGAGTCGTTTAGCGACGGAGATAGAGCTCTCGTCCTCCTCTTTTCCTGCGTTCTACTGGCTTTCGAAGGCTGGGCTTTTGTTCGGGGAACATTGGTGTCTACCTGTCCTAAAAGTTCCTCGAAGAAATCATCATCTTCCTTCGTTTTGACAGGCTGACAAAATTAGTAATGCGTAAACAGATCAAACTAATTGCAATTACCTTTGGCTTTTGTTGAGCAGCTGCCGGTCCTTTGGTAAAATAGTTGCTAATGCCTTTGTCCATGTTTTCCTTTTTGGCCTTTTCTTCCTCTCGTTTCCTCTTTGCTATGAGACTGTCAGAAGTGCAATCATCATACGGGCCTCCAAAACCTACCAGCTTTTCCATTCTTGCTCCTCGTAGGAAGCTCCTCTTCACTTTCGGTTCCGTAGCCCCGTCTATTATCTCGATCCCAATCCTCACGGCCATCATCTGCGTAGCCTTCGCCGTTGTCGTCGACGACGAAATCATCTTGATCTAAACGATTTCTTACGACCTTCTTGTACCCTTCTTCGTCAACTTCTTCATATAAATCTTCTCCCTGATGTACCTCGTAAGTATCGAGACGCTTCTTCCCAGACTCTCGAAGAGCACGGAGTTCTGCGAACTTTGCTCGCGCAGAAGCGGCTTTCGACATTATGAATTATAGGGATGATTTGGAAAGGTGTTGCAAAGTGTGGTTTTTAATTGTTTATAACATTAAAAGAAAAAAAATGTACAGATAAATCCTGGATAGAAAGGTATGATAGTTGGATTGAAACCTCCCACCTCATGTATGTAGGCAAGTACATGTGTTTCTGTGTACAATATTTTGGAACTGTAGAGTGGATGATTGATACGCGAAATTGGAGAAGGGGAATTCTGACGCGCTCCTACCACTTTTCGCGCTGTGAAATCGCGAACCCTTGTAATTCATCGACACGAAAGTTGATTAGATTTTGATGACTAAGTCAGACGGATTATTATTAAACCGACCACAAAAAAAAGTATCATAATGATGAAAGAATGGAGGGGAAGTTGACCTTTTGAATCCAGACTTGAAAGATGTTTACATGTCGAGCATGTACCAGGAGATGCCTACAAGCACTCATCGGAGACTCAACGATTCATAGTACAAACTTACAACTCATAATTCCCCAAAGACAACTTTATAGGTCATTTGCCACGAATGCGACGGATTCTGATAGTTACACCTACCAGCCCATTTCACAAGATGAAGAGTCTTCCGAGTCAACGAAGACCAGGACGGTCAAAAGACAGGAATGGCTAGATTCGAGGGGACAGAGGCCCGCAGACAAAAAGCCTGCAGCTATTGATCCACGAATTGATAATAAATTTATTTGGAAGCTTAAACAACTACAAGATCCACTGCAGCTCGCCGACTATGTACGGAAACTTCTCTCGGAGGACGATTTTGAGAAGGCGTTACTTTATGTCCGGTCTGCAAGCAAGAATGTTGAGTGTGTTGTTAGTTGGAATCATCTGATTGAATGGCAATTCAGTAAGGGACTGTTGAACCCTGCACTTAAAACATTCAATGAGGTTTGTTATTTCTGTAATATATGATGAAGTGTTTGTTGACCATATGATCACAGATGAAAAAACGAGCGCAATTTCCAGACGCGCAAACCTATACTATCATTTTTAAAGGCTGCAGCGAGAGTCCTCATACCAAACCAGCCTTTGAGAAGGGATTAGCAATTTATACCTCGATGCTCTCTGCTGGTTCCCGTTTACGACCAAATACTATTCACATGAATGCAGTACTTAGGCTTTGTTCGAGGGCAGGGGAAGAGGAGGCTTTGTTAGGAATTGCTTCTCAAATGCCTGCCGAGGGGAATCGCGCGCCAGATAACCTTACTTTCACAACCATCCTGAACGCATTTCGCATGAAGGTTATCAGCCAACGAGACATGCCTGAAAAGGACTTTTTAAAAATGAAAGAGAAAATGATAGCTAGTGCGCATCGAATGTGGGGGATATTTATACTCGTTGGCGCAAAGGAGACATAATGGTCGATGAAGAGCTTGTCTGTGCTATGGGCCGGACATTACTACTTGGTTCAGAAGAAGACAACGATGATGTTTTGTCCCTTGTTCAGCAGACAATGAATGTTCGACGCCAAGTACCTCAGCGAGGTACAAAATCTCGAAAGAAGATCGAACCGGGACTTCAAGGGCAGTCCAGACCTGATGATAATAAGGGATTGGCCGAGATAGAAGGCGGTGATATCGATCCTCCTAAAGATCTTGAAAACTTATTTTCTAGCTACGGAACTGCAGTGGCTTCATTGCCCAAGTCGCATGTATACGCTACTCCAGGGCCAAACACATTATCTATGATAATGAAGGCATTACTAAAATTATCTAAAAAGGACGCTGCAACAAAATATTGGCAGCTCTTCACAAAAGAATTGGGCATTGTACCTGATGCGGATAATTACCACAGATACCTGAGAATCCTCCGAGTCACCCGATCGAGTCGAGAGGTTCTGGAACTCTTACAAACAATGCCCAAAGAAGCCTTGAAACCCGAAACTTTTCAACTCGCCATGAGTACCTGCGCTCGGGACAAAATTAACCCCAACGTCTTCACCACCGCCGGTAAGATCCTCGATATAATGCAGATGCACCTTCCAGTCCCAGACATCAAAGCCCTAGTAACCTACATGGACGTTGCCGTCTCTTCATCTCTCATCCGCAAAGCTTCCGGCAACCGACCCACCAAATACGAACAAGGCAAACAAATCTCCCGCGCCCTCGAACGCGTAGGCCCCTCTTATCTTAACCTTCGCGCTCTCGCCACCTATGGAAACCCCACCGTCACCGATGATCACTTCCAAAACCAAGAATTCAAAGACCAAGTCCTCTTTCTTATCCGTCGCATAATAGGCGCTTACGATACGCTCATGGATAAAGGCCTCGTTTCCCGCGACACTTACACTGAGATCTATGCACGTCGCAATAAACTCATGGCCTACGAAGAACGTGCCAAACAACAGCAAGACGGATCTAAAAAATACCCAGGCCGCTTTAAGTACAAGCTCGAGCCCAAAGAAGATGATGAAGAACCCCAAATGCCTACTGATCACCATACTCCTGAATTCCAAAAGCCTATCGATCGCCGCACTCATGAATTTTCGAAAACGCAATTCAAGAAAGCAGTCAAGGGCGGCTTGGCTCCATTTGCTGCTACTCAGGGATATGTGGCGCGTGTTCAACCGTTTGCGAATAGGAAGTCGAATGTTGGAGCTCCGGCGTCGTTTGCAAACAGGAAGCCAACTACTGAGACATCTGCTAGTTTTTAATTGTAGTTTTCCGGGGCGTACAGCATTGCCTGATGCACAAGATGGTCGTTGAGATGAACTCCATATGTTATACACTGTACACTATCAGCTTACATTTTATGAAAATACCCAACCCGTGGAACACATCCGCAACTCATCTATAATAATTGATATCCATCGAAATTCATCTAATTCATCTAATTTACAAGCGAAATGCAGCGAAAACGATGCGATGTTTGGTTGAATTTGTCTTTCATTATGGATTAAGTCTTACAATGACAAATTCTGAGAATTATCTTTTAACTCAATGTCTGGTGTGATCCTTTCCGAAATTGAATACCTTCAATATAAAAATATTACCATGTGTTCTAGCATTAGCGATGACGTTCCTCTCCTCCGGCACTTCATCAGTATTAATATCCTTCTCTGCCACTGTTGATCTTCAAGCGATACTTCACCCGATAATAGTAACCGCCAAAATCAATACACTCATCCTACCTCCTTTATTAAACCACGATCCATCTATACCTCTACTTCATTCTCACCCATACGATTCCCCTCTTCATTCATCAAACAATACTTACTCACCCTCATTCTCTCCAATTTCTCACCAAATCCCTCACTAATCTCCGTTTCATCACCACTCAAGTCTACATTATCCTCATCATCCGCATCATCCACACTCATGTTCACACTAAAATAAGCTCTACCTTTACGCTGCTTCTCCAGCCCACTCCCCGGCGTCTGAACCCTCTGAATTGGATTCGAAACTTTCTTATCCTCTTCCAGTTGCGCAGGACTATAAATCTTCCCCGACGGCGTAACGATTCTTGGATTTTGAATCGGAGTATATGTCTCTACTCGTTTGGGAGTTGAGATCGACTGAAGAGGAGAGGAGCATGTGTCTAAGAATGGTCGAGCTGAAGATGGGGACTTCATTCCTCGTGAGTGAAAGATGTTTACTAAAGTGGGGACTCGCTTTGATTCAATTCTTGTGTTGAGTTGTGGAAGAACCTCGTTGTCTATAATTGCTTGCGACACTGTTTCTACACGAAGAGTGGAATTTCGGATTATGTTTTCCTTGCCTTTCGGAAAATCTGTTGGCTCATCCTTTTTGTTATCAGATGTTGCGACTTCCTCGATTTTGGATATTGCTGGCGCAAGCGCGGTTTCAAGACCTAGTTTACCGAATATAGAAGATACATTGCACGCGGATGCATCACACTTATTTTGCTCTTTTGTGCAAGTGTTGGCCCAGAGACCTGGCCTGACATTGGCTGTCTCTTCTTTGTTGTCGAAGTTTGCTTTGGCCAGATCAAGACTGGAAAGATGATTATTCGCTTTGTGGTTAGTTACAGTCACAGTGTCAATGGGTTCCGGAACCAAGACTGTCAACTCCGCGTCAGTAGAAAAGGGTGCTATATTCCCATCGATTTCTGTAGGGCAGGGTGATTTTGGATCACCACAACCAGCGTTTTCCTCGTATAAATCAATGTTATCGATAGGAAGAATGTATATACTCTCATCCAATTTGTTCGACCACACAGCCACTGAAGGGCCTTCTCCAGAAATGGCATTTGAACGTTCCCTTCGATGTATCGTGTCATTGCCAAAATCGAAAATGATGTGATCTTTCGCACCCTTTGTTTCAGAAGCTATCTCCTCTCGATTCTTTGAAACTTCGTTGGGTCCTGAAATTCCGCAACAATGATTATCAAGAAACCTTGAGAGCTTGTGTTCTTCTTTTAAAGATGATTTTGAACCCTTTCTCGTTTCTTCCTCGACAACTTCAATTTTGAAAGATGCACTTCCATCGTCCGAAGAGTCGTCAAGCTTTGCATGGTGAGTGGCTTGAGCGAAAAGATCGTCTATCATAGCTTGAACGCTGTCAGGAGTTGGTTCAATAGAATAGTGCATTTCTTCAGCGTCTTCGGATTCAGCCCATATCTTTGTTGCGGTCTTGCGATTTGACTGAAGATCATTTTCTGCGTGAACCGAATTACTGCTGCAATTTCCACCACCAAAGCTATCTAAATACTGAAGAATCTGCTTAGAGCCTCTAAGAAGAGGTGCCGGTCTATCCGAATCGTTTGCCATGAATAATTCAGTAATAAACTCTTGACCTGACTTTCGAGGAGTTCCAGCTTCCACGCAGAGGCTCATATCATTGCTACCCGAAGTATCCTCGCCAACTGCCTCTGATTCTTGCGATTTTACACTGAGTGAAGAACTTTCAGGAGATCTGATGGTAACAAGTTGGAACTCATTCTCCAAATCGGAGAAATCTGGTAGATCTTGGTCACTCTCATCCCTATCACCGAGAGGCGATAGTGTTGGTCTCCATACAGGCT